AAGAAAGAAAGAAAGAAAGAAAGAAAGAAAGAAAGAAAGAAAGAAAGTTAGTTTGCCCTAAAAACCTTGCTTAAATGGGAAGGATTTATTAGGAGCTCCCAGTTCCAAAGGTGAGCTTAGTTTTCCTATAAAATTCAATGCTCCTGCAGTTATCATGTTCTGAAACACGATAAACCAATGGAAAATGTTTATTTGAAGGAAACTGTCTGGTTTTCATCCCTACAGAAACCTGATGCCAAGGACCCTGGAGGGACAGATCACCATGGAGAAAACGCCAAGTTATTTTGTGACCAAGGAAGCCCCTCAGCGCATTTACAATATGTCCAGAGACACCAAGTTGATCGTGGTGGTTCGCAACCCCGTGACCAGGGCCATTTCGGACTACACTCAGACCCTTTCCAAGAATCCCACCATCCCCAGCTTCCAAAACCTGGCCTTCAAGAACCTGAGCATGGGTCTTATTGATATCACCTGGAGCGCGGTGAGGATTGGTCTTTACGTGAAACATCTGGACCACTGGTTGCGTTACTTCCCTCTCTCCAAGTTTCTCTTTGTCAGCGGAGAGAGGTTGGTGAGCGACCCAGCTGGGGAAATGGGCCGCGTTCAGGACTTCCTGGGCCTCAAACGCGTGGTGACGGACAAGCACTTCTACTTCAATGAAACCAAGGGTTTCCCTTGCCTGAAGAAACCGGAAGGGAGCAGCAGGCCCCGGTGTTTGGGGAAGTCCAAAGGACGGCCACACCCCAAAATTGACCTGCAGATTGTCCAACGCCTGCAGGAATTTTACAGGCCCTTCAACTTGAAGTTCTATCAAATGACAGGGCAGGATTTTGGGTGGGATTGAGAGATCTCCTGGAACCAAGGAGGCAAGAGGGAGTGCCGTGGGAGCAAACAGAAGGCCTTCTCTAAGCTCCCATGAAGGACTTAACTTCTCCCCAAAGCCTGTTGGGCAAAGGTGGCATCTGAAATGCAACATCCGAGGAACGTTTTCTGAGTCTGACCCTTACTAATTTATATAATTTCCTTCCAATAAGAGAGAATTGTTACGCTTACGGTGTAGTGGAGAGAAAGACATTAAGCCTCGCCCGGCTGACATCCGCAAGACGAGAGCGAAGGACGGGAAACATAGATCGGTTGAAATATCCCTGCTAAATAAATCTGGCCAAAATGGATAAGATTTCTGAATTCGTGTTGGGTGAGAGAAAATAAGTCAAAGAGGGTGTCAACTAAAATAAGACTCCTTTGGTTTTTTTAGTTGCCAGTGGAAAGGGTTGTGCGGGAAAGCAGTGCATTCCTTAAATGCCTCAGATAATCACCTTGGCAGCCCAAAACTGTCCGCATGCAAGATTATTACTGGAGAGCGTGATTGATGACTCTTGGCTATGGATGTGTCCCATTGGATAATACACCTGCAGGGGGTGGGGGAAAAACCAGAGTCTAGGGGGAAATGAATGATGTATTTTAGTGTTGGCTGCACCCAGCTAACGCCAACATGGCCACTCCTAATGAATCAATTATTTTTTACTCTGAAAGATGCAGCTAGAAACTTACGTTTTGAATGGGGGTGGATTTGTTGGAGCCATGACAGTGGGTTTGCCTGGGTCAGAAATGTCCTTGGTGTCATCCAGTCAGTTTTGTTCTTGCACGTGGGATTGATTGTACAGGTAGTCCTCGACTTACAACCATAATTGAGCCCACTGGTGGGCTTGCAACCGGTTTAACAACCGGTTCTGCGAGCGTGCGCTTCGTGAGCGCATGCAGCATTCATTAAACAGCCATTTGAACCTCTCCCGCTCACCTTCTAGCCTTCCCTGGTAAGGAGAACAGCTGAGGTGCGGTAATCCACTTTGCCGTGCGAATTAGCTGAGCTGCAAAAGCAGGGAAATGTAAGACAGAACAGCCCAGGGGAGGGCGGGCGGGGCCAACTGATCGTCATTCATACCAGTTCGCTCGAACCGTTGCAAACTGGTAGCAGCTCACCACTGACTGAGCCCAAAATTTAGGTTGCTAAGTGAGACATTTAAATGAATTTGCCACATTTTGCGGCCTTTCTTGCCACAGTTGTTAAGTGAGCCACTGCATGTTCTTAAATGAGTAACACGGTTGTTAAATGAATCTGCCTTTCCCATTGACTTTGCTTGCCAGAAGGTCGCAGAAGGGGATCAGGGGATCCCGGGACACTGCAACTGTCATAAATGTGAGTCAGCATCTCAATTTTCAGGTGATCAGGTGACCACGGGGATGCCGCAACAGTCGTAAAGGTGAAAAACAGTCAAAAGTCACTTTTTCAATACCGTCGTAACTTTAAACAGTCACTAAGCGAACTGTCGTAAGTCGAGGACTAGCTGTATTTTATTTGGATGATGTAAAGAAGCCAGGTTACGGTTTCACTCCGAATCAAATAACCGGCATGAATGATGGGTGGTGATCAGGTATCGTGAATGTAGAATGTATTGAATTGAGTCAATGCGCTTGAAGACTACATGCATTTTGGGAAAGCTGTCGTTGTGCTGACCATTTAATGAGAACTTCTTGGGTGTGTCCCAGAATGTTCTGGTTGATCAAGAACCAAGACCACTCTGTTAATGCACAACATTTCCATTGCGCGACACACAATGCATACCCAGCACATGTTTGTGTGCAGCGTGAGAAAGCACAACTACCTGTTCACAATCTGCACATTGAAGACTCCTGGTCGAATAAGATGCTTCCACTTTCCCAATGTCTAGGCTGCGTAGAAAGGATTAATCATTGCCATATGGCGACCATGGTCGAAGGAAAACCGAGAGCATATTTTGTATGGAAAAAGCACAGCCTGTGGTACAGCGTTTCATCGGCGCATTCAGCTCCTGAGAATTTCCGCTTTTTTAAAATTTAAAATTCAACTTTCAAGCCATTGTGACCCAAGAAGATGTGCTTAAATGTACAACTGTTACTTGCATGCTACTTGAAAATCGAGAGATCATTTCCCACCCCCTGAGATTTATGGGAAGATACATTACAGGTCTGTGGAGATTCTCAGTTCTCCAGGTCACAGCTGTTCCAAAGATGCTTAACCAACTGGACTGTTTTTTCTTTAAGAAAGAAGAAGAATTTTGTTTCTCTTCCAAGGAACTTCGTCACAACTAATGAAGTTTCTTACATGGAAACAAAACATTTTGTTGTCTCCAAAGTGCTTTTTCAGAAGGCAACTAGACTGTACTTTTGAGACAACTGGATGTCTGAGAATCTCCGCAGACCCTGAAATGTTCTCTTCTTTTTTCTCGAGGAAGAAACAGTCTTTTGAAAAAGCACCTTTGAGATACACGGCGAGGACTTTCGAAAAATTCTTATCCATCCCTGTGGACCGAACCGGTATAAGTTATACAAAATGTGATAATTGTGCAGGCCCCGAGTTTTCACTTCTTCTTAGAACACATGTGATCTGAAAATACATAAAACTGCCTTCTCCATGTCACTTGGAGGGACGCGGTGGCTCAGTGGCTAAGACGCTGAGCTTGTCGATCAGAAAGGCCGGCAGTTCGGCGGTTCAAATCCCTAGTGCTGCATCACAGAGCGAGCTCCCGTCCCTTGTCCCAGCTTCTGCCAACCTAGCAGTTCGAAAGCATGTAAAAAATGCAAGTAGAAAAATAGGGACCCCTTTGCTGGGAAGGTAACAGCGTTCCATGCACCTTTGGTGTTCAGTCATGCCGACCACATGACCACAGAGACGTTTTCGGCTGGCCCTTCGGCTTTGTAATGGAGATAAGCCAGAAATGACTAGCATGTATGTGCAAGTGGAACCTTTACCTTTACCTGCCATTTGGATGTTCCTTACTTAGATGTTGCATGATCTTGCAGTCAACATAAATTACTTGCAAGATGTGCCATTTCTGCATGGGACCATCCAGGTTTTCCCACCCACAGTGTGTGACCATTGGGCACAAACAAAGCACCAAGCATTAATGCATCCATCTGACTCAATAGGCAGCAGCCAACGTGACAAACTTCTTTGAGAAGAGGCAAAGATTCCATTGTTATTTTGTGGGGGGTTCATCCTGGTAAAGGCAGAGCCAAAGATTGGGTAGAACTTCAACAAGGGTTCCTGTAGGACAGAGGTCTCCAAACTTGGCAACTTTAGGACTTGTGGACTGGGAGAATTCTGGGAGTTGAAGTCCACAAGTCTTAAAGTTGCCAAGTTTGGGGACCCCTGCTGTAGGAACTCTTGGCCTTAGCTAATTTAAAAAAAGGAAAATAACAGAAGTGCCTCTGTTCCACTCTCCAAATGTTTTTGACTAGTTTTTCTTGTTCATACTTCCACAGGGGTGTGCCGCCGGGATTTGCAAAGCAAAAACAATAGCAATGCTCCCTTTTATACATGCTGATAAGAGGAAGATGAGCAGATTAAAAAGAAATAGAAAAAAGGTGGAGTGAAATTTATCAGATTTTGCTTTCTTCACATCTTCATGGGCTGCAATTTTTGTACAAGTGATGATTTGGAGATCTTAAAATGTGCCACAATGGATGAACAAGTCCATGTGCTCTTTTAAGAGGGCTTGTTAATCTGTTGGCTGATGGACAGGAAGCGAACAGATGTGTGATACTAAAACCTGTTTGCGGTCTCTCCAGCGTGGCAGACACAATCGCTTTCACACACCCACAAAAAGCATTGTCGTCTTTGAATTTCAAACCAAGTAGCACAAGATGTATTTTTCCAGCTCCTGGCAAAAGGAAGGGCTGTAGTGTGCAGGTACTCCTCGACATATGACCACAATTGAGCTCAAAATGTGTGTTGCTGAGTGAAACATTGGTTCAGTGAATTTTATCCCATTTTATGACCTTTCGTGCCGTAGTTGTTTGTTCAATGAATCCCTGCAGTGGTTAAGTTAGCATGATGGTCGTTAAATTAATCGGGCTTCCCCATTGACTTTGGTTATATGGAAGTCACAAAAGGAGATCATGTGACGTTGCGACTATCATAAATATGAGCCTGGTGTTGAATGTCTGAATTTTGATCACATCACCATGGAGATACTACAACGGTCAGTAAGGGTGAAAAATGGTCATAAGTCAATTTTTTTCAATGCTACTGTAACTTTGACTGGTCACAATTCACATAACAATGGATGGAAACTAATCAAACAGAGAAGCAACCTGGAATTAAGGAGAAACTTCCTAACAGGGAGGACAATCAACCAAAGGAACAGCTTTGCCTTCAGAAATTGTGGATGCCCCATCATTGGAGGTTTTGAAGAAGAGACTAGACAGTCACTTGTCTGAACTGATATAGTTTCTTCTGCTTGAGCAGAGGGCTGGACTAGAAGGCCTCCAAGGTCCCTTTCAGCTCGTTCATTCTATTCTGTGCTGGGAAACCAAATTGCAACCCAAGCATCTCTTTAAACCAGTGAATCAACCTGATCCTTGTAACTCCTGCTCTCCCTCTCTCTTTCACATACACACAGAGAGAGAAAGTTGCCATTGTGCCAGTGGAAGTGACATCCTAGATGGCCCCCCCACCCCCAGGGGGGCTCGGGTATCAGAGGTCTCGGGGAGCGGGGAGCCTCCATTGTGGCTTTTCCTGGCAGCCTCCCATGATAGACTGTCCCCGTCTTGTTTAGGTTTTGTTTCCAGCCTGACATTCGACCAAATTATTCTCCACATTATTCTTTCAAGAAGCCTAAAAGCCCGCGATAGCGATCCTTGTTTGTCATCTGAATGCCTGCACTGAGGGGCTGAGGGGCCATTGAGATGCAAAGAAGCCCCATGGAAAGCTGGTTTCTGTCTCCCCCTTATGAAAACAGGGGTCCCGCCTTCTCCATCCCCCCCTTCCCCCAGCTTTGACAAAAGCAGGCTTGAATCTCCGAAGCCGCACAATGCCGGATGGAGAGGGGCTTTCAGAGCTTCTGACATCGCCCCCAAAAGGTCTGGAAGGGAGCCGTGGCAGGCAGGCCTCTTCTGAGGCCATTCTGTGGTCCAGGCAGAGGCTGGGAAGGGCAGGAGGGGAGAGGGGGAGGGAAGCAAAGATTAAGACTTTTGAAGTACTACATGAACCCCCTGTTTAAACTAATTGCTGCCCTGCAGCTCCAGGGGTCAAGGATTTGCATTCATGGCATTGAGCGGCCGCCACTTGTGGGGTTGACCAGGTGAAGCGTCTACTACTTCATTCGAGGAAGACA